TTATTGTTTTATTGCCCTTTGAATCGTGTCTAATATCTGCACCATTATAAGTTGTAAATCACTTGGGGAACGTGCAGCTCGCATTATGCTATCGATTTACATTGCCCACAAGGTACTCGCTTGCGTGCCTCATAAATCATTTTAATTGTATTGCTTATTTAACCTAATCTAGTCTTGAATACCCTAAAAAGGTCCATATTTTTAGCTAATAGTTACTTTTACAATAATAAATAAAGAATAAGTATGAAAAACAAGAAATAAAGTACTAACCTAATCTTTTTTCTTGCTGTTGGGTTGTAAAGAGCGTCAACCCAATTTTTTTAGACTAAAAATAGTAGTGCACTTAATATTTTTTATTTAATTAAATAATACACCAAAGAATATAGACTAATGATATGCAAAAGGTAGACAAATTCACTTACATCTCAAAAATTTTCTGGCTTTCTAATTATGTGACAAGAGCCGTTACAAGTTCATCCAAGCTAGTTGTTAACTTTCCCATGGGAACGAATCTTGTACTGTGAGTGCAACTGACGATGTTCTGTTCAGAATGCAACATTATACCGTACTTCATTTGATAGATGAAAACCTTGGCTTTCTATTGGTTATAAGTAATATATAATGAAATGTAAGAAAGAACTATCCTTGAATTGTGAAAGAGAGGGTGTGTCCGGAATGGTCTGATTTTCTATTCAATAACTCTATAACCAAACAAAATTGGAGACTATAAAAACTATGGTTTGTCTGAGCAATAACAATTTTATAGAGAGTAATTTACATTTAATTTCATACATTTTAGAGTGGTGATGGATAAAATAGGGATGATGACTTGCTAAGACAAAATGTTATGTGGGTTACACTAATGGAAATTTGGGGGGGGGGGCTTTGGGAGTTGATTCCTATAGTCTGTTGTAGATCGAAATATACTCAACATCACTTCTCACCAGATTCGGCATCTATCAATCTCATTGTCTGCTTGTCCAAACTGTTCTCTGTGGGATATTTTGCAGGCCGGTATGTGGACTTCTCCCAACACTTTCGTATCTCATTACCTTCATGATCTGGCAGTTTCCTCTTCTGTGGGATTTGGCCACACACACACCCTCTATGTTGACTACCTCTGCTAGATTTTAATAAGTTGTGTAACTTTTTTACCTGATTAACAGTTTCTCTTCTTTTCTCTTCTAGAGTCCCTCTATATTTCCTTTGGATCACAGTCAGGTGTGCTTATATTTTTTCAATTCCGCAATATCAGTCTTTATATGGTTTATGGGTTTCAACAGGCACTGTCGAGATAAGATGTTCCATAAGACCATCAAGATGCAATTCTGGATGGTAGTATTATCTCGCAATACAAATACAATGGACCGCTACTCATAGACTATCATGAGTAAAGCTAAAGGGGATTTTGCCAGTCCCTACTGATTTTAGAGGTGAATCAGTTGAGAGTGGTGTGCTTTTAAACTTAGGGAACGTGGTTCACCTGTTGCACTGTCTCTGAAGGCTTGTTCCTTGGAACTATCCACCGCACTCGTCACCCCATACTGCTACTAGTGGAGCTAGGGAATCCTTACCACACCCAGTTCCTATTCGCTGGGGTGGTGGAAAGAAGATTTTCCTTTGGAGTGTTGAGGTTTATCCACTCTCAGAGAAGATGGTGAAGTTGGGGACCCTCCTACCTGGGTCACTGGAAGTTTTTCCCAGATGATGGTAGGAGAAGGACTAATGCAGGAGCCTACTTCTAAAACTGGTCCTGATTTGACACTTTAGCTATCTAGTGGGGGTGTGCTTGGACCTTTTTATGAACAATGTCAGGTCTTGGGTTGTTCATGCAGGAGGTCTACTATCTCCTCATAAATCCCATCTTAGGCCCTTGGTGGAACAGTGTTCCACATTCTTTTCATAATTCCATGGGTAAGTGGAATTCTCCTTGCCCACTTGGTTGGGGAGTGAAAATGACTGGTCGTAAATTCAGACCGGATGAGTTCTGGACCTTGGGTGGAGTTTGGCAGATATGATCCTGTCAATCCAAGCCTGGAATGTTGTCTTTTGAAATTATTCAGGTTGAACAGAAGGATTGTCTGCTTTGGTGTTGCTTTCTTTCTTTCATAAATCTAGTTGTTTGAAACGCATCATTCCATGGCTGCTGGTGGGGATCATATCACAAAGATGTATATATTTGTGGTCCAACTGTCCTTGCCACCAACGGGGTATATGGGTACCATGACCCCTTAAATCCAGCCCCGATTCGTGGAACTTCAGCTGTGTGGTTGGGGCTTGCCCATCATACTTACTTGTGTATTATTCCACCCTTTTCACTTTTTCTATAGTTCTGGGTGTAGAGTATACCTGTTCTGGACGTAATGCGGTTTTCTCTACTTGGGTACCACTTCTCATGGTACACCTTTGTCCTATGCAGATGCTTTCTGTATGAACTATGCCTTCACCAGCCCCTCCGTTACAAGTGTCAGCAGAGGTATGTATGTTTTGGAAGTTATCATTTTCCTAAACTGAAAATGTATTTCCAAACATACTTACCTTCACTGACACTCTCCCTCCCTCCCTGCCCACTAAGAGCTGGTTTTAGTGACCAGAATAAGGTCTCAAGAAAGTGATTATATTGTCAACATACAGCGCTTATGTACAGTTCCTGTATAGAGGGTGTGTAAGGGCCAGTGTAAAGTTTTGCAAATTAGATATTGCCGAGGGCAGTCGAGTGGGGTATAAAGACTGGAGCAAGTGAACACGACGTTCAGATGGCAAAGATGATGAGAAATAGTTATTAGTGTCAGAGGAGGTAAGTATGTTTGGAAATATATTTTCAGATTAGGAAAATGTGAACATATGTTTTTGGTATAGATTTTCATCAGTCTGTTCCTCTGTTTTAGTTCTTTGCGTCTACAGAAACGGCTAGCCTCGGCTGTGCTGAAATGTGGCAGAAACAAAGTATGGCTAGATCCCAATGAAACTTCAGAAATAGCAAACGCTAATTCACGTAAGTATGTGCAACTAGGCCTTATAGATGTATAAAGTTTTCAGTGTTCAGAGTTTACATTCTGCAGTTTTATTTCAAAGTAAGACTAAATAAATTACATATAATATTAAAAGGTTACTGTTATAAATAGTAAAGCAGTGAGTACATATCTGTTGAGATATTTGTGATATATGTTTCTTTTAAGATAGTTATTTTTCATTTTTAGGCCAGAACATTCGTAAGTTAATCAAGGATGGTCTAATTATTCGTAAGCCTGTGGCTGTACACTCTCGGGCCCGAGTTAGGAAAAATGCTGAAGCTCGTCGTAAGGGTAGACATTGTGGTCCTGGTAAGCGGAAAGGTACTGCTAATGCTCGTATGCCTCAAAAGGTGGTGTGGATTCGTAGGATGCGTGTGCTTCGTCGCCTTTTGAAGAAGTACAGAGAAGCTAAAAAGATTGATAGGCACTTGTAAGTTTTATTCTGCTGTAATATTAACTAGGTTTAACAAGTCTGCCCCACAACAACTGGTGTTCAGTATGGTACATATGAGCTAAGGTGGATCTACATAAACCCTAAGTTTATCTGAAATGCTAGCTTAGACAATTCAGACTGTGCCAAAAAATTATCTTTGTTAATTTTGTTTTATATTTACATTTTATTTTACATGGTCAGATTCAATCCCCAAGGTGAAACAACTAGGATTATTTTTATAACCTGAAAATAACTAGTGGTCTTTATGGCCTGTCTTGAGAATATTCTTGGTTTTATTACTAGGTTTCAGTCATTTTCAACAAATATAAATATTCACTTGTATAGTAATAACGTTCTTGACAGATGTGTATATAACAGGAATCCCTTGATTAGTGTGGTTAATGTGTT